TATATAGAAGGATAGTCGGGATAATTGTACTGCTGATGTCTAATGGTTTATTGAAAGGAGCAGTTAATGCTTAAACTATTTGTGTACCAATTTTGCATGCTAGTATCTGGTAATCTGAACAACTAATTTGAAGACCATAATATGCAATATAACAACCATTGGTGAATTCCTACCATCTTGTTTAGTGAAGCTCTGTGTTGTTTCTAATTTTTTTTAAATTTTTTTTTATTCTCTTTAATGGCTTAATCAGTCTTGCATTCTTGCATCTGAGCAGCTTCGTTGAAGATAACAATATGTACTGTTAGAACCACTGTTGATTCCTATCAGTTTGTTTTGACTCTCTGTCATTTTTATTGTTTTTGTTTCGTTTTGTTTTAGTCTATGTTATTGTTATTTTGTTATTTTTTTTTATTCTCTTTAAAATAAAAAAAAAAACCAGTCAACACAAGATCTGCAGTGAGGCCGAGTATTTACAGAGTGGTAGTAAATCTAGTATCACTTGTTATTAATTGCTGTGTAATAATCTCTGCCTTGGCATCCTCCCCTGCTATGCTCTTGTTTTCTTGCTTCTCTCTTTTAATTGTTCATAAAATTCTGTCCTTGTTGGCTCTGACAGAGTTGTGTTTTCTTCATTTTTAATATTTTGCCTTTATTTTACAAGAATGAGGAAACAATTTGTAATTTATAATGTAAATCCCCCCAGAGAGAACACCAGAAGCCTAAAATAAAATTCTGATGAACTAATACCAAATTTGACATGATATTCTAAGCAATAGTCAAGAGGTAGATTTATAAATTTACCTTAGCAATTATTATGGACATATATATTAAAGTTAAAATTATTTGATTTTTATTTAAATTTCAAATTTCAGCATTAGCTAGTTTTCAAAGTAATTAGCAGATTCCATGTCACTTCTTTTTGACAGTTGATTTCTGTTTACATTATAGAGTAAAATAATCAGATGATTCTAATGATAGGTGGAAGTGTATTATAGAATGCATGGAAATAGAATCAGAAAATTGAATTTCAACCAAATTACCCATGTTTCTAGGTATCTGGCTCTAACTTTCCAAATTTCCAAAATAAGAATACAGAAATAAAATAGTATGCATCTGTTTTTCAGATTCTTTAGTAAGTTATTTGATACTAAAATACATTTTCCTGATATGCTTGTGATACACTATTTCAAAGCCATTCTAAATATAACAAGAGTAAATCACAAAATGAAAAATTTTTTCATGTTTATTTTAAAAATTAACAATATATATTTTTATCCAAATGTCATAAGTTACCATTTATATTAAATCCAATTGCAATAAGTTAAACTTTGTTTATTATGTTCTGGTGATTTCTATAACAAATAATTCCAAAACTCAGTGACTTAAAACTAGACTTTATTTTATTTATAGCTTTGTAAATTAAGAATTTAGAACTGATTGCTCTGGACAGTTGTAGCTTGGGTTTCTTAGGCAAAGTGAGGTGTTTCCTGGGAGTGCAGCCACTTGAAGATTTTCCCGGTCTCGGTATCTAAGAGGCTCTTCCTCACGCCTGGTACTTGATGCTGTTGTTCTTCTGAGCAGTCCCTGGAAGCAGCGTGTGGTCTGTATGACTTCGAGTGCCTGCTGGGTTCTTTCTGCAAAGGAGCGGCCTGAGAGGATCCATTCCAAGAGACCGTCACAGAAGCTTTTATGGCTGAACCCTGAAAGTCATGGAGTTACTTTCATCATCTTCTGTGGGACCTGCAAGGGCATAGACACCAGGACCCGAGGAGAGGAGCATTAAACCCTACCTTTCAATAGAGATAGTACCTGTCTTTAATTTACCACTCTGACTTCCATATTTGTACATAATTATTGGAAGAGAAATAATAGAATTGAGTTTTAGTCCTAAAAATTAATTATAATTGAATGAGAAACTGGATATCACCATTATTAACTTATATGGTTTTTTATGAATAATGTGAACTTTAAAAATTTCAAGTTAAATTGGTTACATTAGCCTACAGTTTAATATAATACTTTTACTTTGAAACTGAAGAATAGTAAAATGCCATCATTTCTACACATCTGTATGATTTCAAACTCTATAAATCATCTTGCTAAGTGTATTACAAAGTTTTGCAGATACAATGAGAATATTGAGGACCTATTACTATTAACTTTTATCTGAGAGTGCTGTTCAAAGACTTGCATTTTCTGGGTTAGATCCTAATTTAGATGTTGGTACATGTATATATAACAGTGAAAGAAAAGTGCTGCTGCTTGACTAATGTGATTTCTAAAGTCATTTGTATAGGTTTTGATAAATTGTCTTCTGATGCCAAATGTTATTTTGTGTGTGGTTCTGTGAATAACTGTAAATATTACATGAGGGTCTACCTAATGTAAAGCTATGAGATTGTGAACCTCTTGAAAAATTTCTCCAGGAATAAAATCTGAAAAAATTTATAATGAACATGTTTTCAAGAAACTAAGTGACTTTTAAATTCTCACTAACTACAACATTGGCCTGTCTTCCATTTTAAACTAGTTAACAACCAACCAAATGTAATTTAACTCATCAAAATACTGTTGATAATCAGTTAAAGAGAAACAATTGTAGGAGACACAGTCTGACTCTCAGGCACAACTTCAGGGGAGGACTCGCAGCCCAGAGCTGGCTCCTTCCTGCTGTGTTCTCCTTTGGGAGCGGCCTTGGCTCTGCGGCTGCAGTGCCTGCTCTTCCCCGGGGGGCCCAGTGCAGTGGCTGAGTGAAAGAGGTGAGGCTACAGGCTCGCTCTTCTTCGTGGACACTTGCTGTTCACCTTCAGCCTGCCGTTCACCTTCAGCCTGCCGTTCACCCCATAGACACTCTTGGCTTTTTGAATCCTTAATATCAGCTCAGCAAGAATTGAGGGACAACCAAACAATGACAATCTTTTCTTTTGTGAAGGGAATTAACTTTTCTTAAGTGAAATATTAAAAAAAAATCTGGGAATGTAGAAAATACAATAGTTGTGTTGTTATGTAGTTTCTTGTCTGATGTCATCTTCAGCCTCCTTGGCTATGTCTGTGGGGTTCAAAGAAGTTAAGCGATTAGTGCAGGCGCACATGGCCAGGTACCTGTGGTATCAGCGACACCTAGATCCTAGATCTCCCCGATCCAGAGAAACATGATTCTTTTCTTACTTGCCTCCTAAGTTTGCTAATTTTTATTTGTTACATGGAGCAAGTTAAACCTTTTTCCACTAAAAATAATACCTAGAATTTATACTCATAAGCTTTAAAAATAATGGATATTGACTCTTTCCATGAAAGTCATGGTTTAGGGAAGAAATAAGACTACTGAAAGATAAAGAACAAACAGATATTTAGCATCTTCTAGTAAGCTGGTGATTAGCCGAGACAAAATGACAATAGCTGAGGGCTGTATATTGTGGATTACTCAATGTAAAGTAGAAATTTTTGGCAACATGAGAATGAGAATAAGCAAACATTGTTTTTTCTGATCTCTTAGATATTTTCTTTTATGATCAGCTGATGAGAATATGAGTCTTCTCTTAATACTTGTACTTTGATTGGGCAATTTTATGGAAAGGAACCATGAACTGAACATCTTTATTTTTGTCAATTACTGTGTCTGTTGCTAATGGTATGGTAATGAAGGAGGAGGAAGAGTTACTCGAATGTCATTGGGGTACAAGCATGCCATCCAATAAGTTTTGTATAAGGTCATGCATGGTGTAGGTGCTACAAAGCATCTCCTTCCCCAAAGGACTACAACTCAGCCATTAACGGAAACCTCCCTGGCTGGGTGCGGGGCCATGCTTGAGATATGTCCTAGAGCGTAACACATTGTAAGTGGTAAGGGGACATGATGAGCATAAAGCAGTAAAACCCAGAGATGTGCGTGTAGCAAAATGTGCATAAAGCAAGGACACATAAAACTTTGCACCTTCTAAAATGTGTAAGTAATAGATAAAAACAGATATAATATGCTATGCTAAAGAATATTGGCATTTTTGTTCTGAAGAATGGAAGTGATTACCTGTTAAAATAGGAAGGATCAGAATTTAATTTCCTCTTAGAAAATTCTCTCTGGAGGATACAGTGATATGAATAGAAATAGGGAAAACCAATTTAGAAGCTGTGGCAAAAATTTGGATAAGAAACATTCACTTACTAAAGGAGATTAATGGGGAATAGAGGGCATCAAGTCCAAGAGATACCAAGGATGCAGAGGTTAAAGAGCTGGGTATCAGATTTGGTTCAATGTGATTAGTATCAGAGACTTCCTGGTTAGTATTTCAGAAGCCAGATGATGGGAAATAAGCAGAAGTGAAGTCCTAAGGTGATGCTGGTCTGGATGTTGAGTCTGCATGTCTGGAAAAATGCTGAATGTCGGTCAGAAACTACTTGCATTTATGAACTGTAGCTCAGACTACAGAAAGTTCTGGGTTAGGTAATTGTGCCTGAAAGTTTGCAGGATAAAGTAGTAGAGACCACAAGGTGGAGGTATCGTGGATACAGAGGCCATGACTGAGCACACCCGGAAGAATGAGATTAAATGCCCTAAGATTCCTAGCGCCACTGTCAAATGTTACAAGGCCATCATTTGTTTGAGCCTTAATATTTAATGAGAGCAGGGGAACAAATGTTAGATCAAGTATCTCTTCTAGAGTATAGTTTCTGTCCCACGGATTAAGCATGAAAATGGGAGGAGAGAATAAAAGTATTTGCTAATTGCTCTTTTAGGCAACAGAATGGACGAATGAATACAAAAAAGTCTTCCAAAAGACTACATATATTCATGCAGACACACAAATAATTCAGTTATCATAACATTCTGAATGCATTAGCTTGTTTTCTTTCAACTTGGACTATGTTATGGAAAATACACTGTAGAGGAAATACGAGTTTCATTAGTCAGATGCAGCGACCTCCCACTGTGTGAAGCTGACTTGGTTATCAAGAGCAAAGTGAAAGGTCTCAGCCCGTCGTGCTCTCTCCTGTTTTTACAGGATATAATGAAAGATGAATGTTCTGTGCTCAAGCTGCAACTGAAAGAGAGGGACGAGCTCATTTCCCAACTTCAGGAAGAGCTGGTAAGTGACAATATTTGACCCACAGAATGCAATTTCTTTGCAGATCTTTCTCCTACAAACCCTTATCTGGCAACACTAATATTATTAATTATTGTAAATGCTTTTGAAGATTAAATACGATTATCAATTTTATAGTCCTATAGTAAGGAAAAACTATATCTTTGACAATGTGAACAGTTGAAAGAATGCTTTACTGTGTGTGAACATTTATATAAATCTGCAAACAGACCACTGGAAAAAAGTTAAACATTTCATTTACTTTTCTCAAAAATCCTACAGGTAAGGCTAAATTATATGGTAGAAAATGCATGACTTAACTACATACTGCTATGCCTAGAGGCAGAATCATATAATATAAATCAAAGTATGTGACAATCTTGGAAAAAAATTAATTTTTCTTTTTATTTTCATAAAGGTATGAAAACATAGCTTTTTGTTAACAGTTGTGTAATTCCCACATAGTATAAAAATTTTACAATATATGGAATGCATATTGTTTATATATTTAGGATGTTATTGTACATACTTTCATAGAAGAATATAAAAAGCATATCTTCATAACATGAAAACACTTTTGGTGGGTAACAGGAAGCACAGTGGCCATTATTTTCTGGGTTTTCACTGTAGCAATGTATGCAGTTTACAATAAGATAAATGCACTCTGGATGTGCACAAAATCATGATACTATCACATAAGAATTAAAAAGAATGATTTTTAAAAATTCATCAAGAATTCTTACAGTTAAGTAAACTACACAATAAAAGATAGTCTGAGTCATTATGAAGAATCAAGAATGAAATCCTAGTCAGAAACATTCTCTATAATTATTTCAGGTTTGACATTAAGAATGATATATTATGTGGTTTTTAGGTTTAATTAATTAATGAACATACTTTGTAGACAGCCAAGTTTTTAAGAACCTAAGACATCAGTAAAATATTAGAAAATTAGAGCCTGTGTTATAGATAACTGACAATGTCTTTCTTGAAACTTTATGTAGACTGCTGTATGAACCCCTGAAGCTGATTATTTGTCTCATGAGCGTATTATTGTGACTGTAGACTGGTACTTAAAATGAAAATAGTATTAAATACAAGAAGGACATGTCTTTCTTTACTCCAAATAACCTTTTATAAGTATATAAGATGTGTCAGACATGGTGGCGCATGCCTGTAATCACAGCAATCAGGAGGCTGAGGCAGGAGGATTGTTGTGAGTTCAAGAGCAGACTGGGTTACAAAGTGAGGTCAAGACCAGCCTGAACTGCATAGTGAGACCCTGTCTCAAAAAAAAAGTATGTAAGATATTTATAATTCAAATTTTATATGTTACATAATAAAACATTTTATATTTATTATAGTCCTCTAGATACATATTATGAAGAAAGCTTTGACTATATGTTATACAAATATGTCTTTGGGCTTTAAGAATATTAAATATTGATACTTATTAAAGAATGGCATCATTATAGAATGGAATCATTAATTTTAACAAAGCAGGGTATCTACTCATTGACTTTGCTTCAGAGCACTTATTTTGGTTAATTAACTCAGAAAAGTTATTAATTTTTCCTCTCAACAGTAGTTGTGATCAAATTTAAAACATAACGTATTCAAGAAATCAGACCTTCATTTGTTCAATGCAATGAGAGAAAATTATTACTTCCAGAGCAAAAGCTTTGTAGCTATAATTAAAGTAATTCAGTGTCTCCTCCCTTAAAAAGACATACTAAAGTGCGGCACAAGGCTTGGTTTTTCTTTTCTTTTCCTTTCTTTTCTTTTCTTTTCTCTTCTTTAAACTTGAATTACCCAAACTGGTGCATTAGCCTCTAAAATTTCCCAGGTAATAACCAAGGTACCCTGGGTACCACAAAAAAAGAAAAAACAAAAGCAAAGTACCGTTTTCATTCTTATGCTGTGTTGTTTGGGTAATCAACTTGACTGTGTCAACAAAGGAAAAATGTTCACTTTTAAGAATATAGTTTGTTTTGATGGTTAAAGAAGATTGCCACAGGAGGAAAGGGTAAAGTTATGATTTTAAAAATTAAGAGAAAAGAAACGTAGTTAAAATTAAGCAGACATCATTACAGTGGATTTGGAGGGTTGACAGTCACATAGGACAGTGCAAAGCACTTGGATTCATGGGAAATGTAGGTCCTGATTACTTCTGATCGTGGCAAGAAAGAATTTGTTCTCTTGTATCTTGATGATGACTAAACTTTATATTGCTAGTTTACCTCACATTGAACATTTCAAGTAACATTAGAAGCTCATTTAGCTGTTACTTACTAAAATACATATTTATAATCTGTGACAATTTAGAACAGCATAGTAATATTTATGGCAGCACAATTCATAATAGCTACATGTTGCAAGCAACCCATGTGTCCATCCACAGATGGAAGGATTAAATAATGTGGTAGCCGGGGAGATAGCTCAGCAGCACAGTATCTTCCTGGCAAGCACAAGGTCCTGAGTTCAATTCCAAGTACCAAAAACAATTAAAATGTTAAAAATGTGGTACACCAAATGGAGTACTACACCTCCACAAAGAAGAAAATACTTTAGTCAGTTGCAGGAAAATGGGTACATCTTGAGACCATAATGTTAAGTGGATTAAATAAGACCCTAATGTTTAAATATTGCATGATATCCCTTGTGGGAGGAACCCAAACTATAAATGAAGAGCAAAGTAAGAGACAGATAATAGGAAGTCAGAAAATCTTGTTTGCAAAAGGGAAGGGGACAAAGAAGTGGAGTTCAGTGCAGGGAGGATGAATGATGTGTTGGGTCTGTGTATGAATTCTCCATGGGGAATGTAACCATCATGTACTGCTAATGTGCACATATGAAAATGAAAAGTTAATATAAAAATGTACTCACCGTAAAAAAACAGAACTGGAAGAGTTTTCTCTAATTTATGAGGTTCTCATTTCTTGGACACTGCTGCTACCATAAGAAATTTTACTTAGATGTGCATAGAAGGCAAATTTAGATGTACTTATGTCAAGAAATACTTTATACTCAACAATTAGAAAATTCTATTTTTAATAATTATGTTTACTTAAGCTCACCTTGGTAACTTCAGTTGTAAAATGTTAAGTAGTGGTAGGATGGCATCAGGCCAGAAGAGATCACTTCAAATGCAGTGTTTTCAGTTATATTTTTTTTTTATTTTCAGAGCAGGATTTCTCAGTAACAGCACTATTGACACGTTGTAACAGGCAGCTGTCCTGTGCCTACTGGGTGTTTAGCGCATCCCTGGTACTGCCCTCTAGATGCCAGACATTATCATTGCTCCCTGGGGACAAAACTGTCCCTATTAAGAACCATTGATTTGGGGGTACTAGATTAAATACAGTCCCCCAGTGAAATTGTATGTTATAGCATATACCTACACCCAGGAAAATATAAATTCCTGCCATAGGGATGTACCTTCCTGGGGCTGTGACATATACAGCCATTTTCATATTGTCATGGTCACCTAGGGCTACAGTAACAAAACGTGATAAATTGGCTGGCATACACAACAGAAGTTAATTTATCTTGGTTTTGGAGGCTGGAAGTCTGTTTTCTGGGTACCAGAATGACTGTGCTCTGGTAGGTTTGCATAGGACTCTGTCCCTGGCTGGAAAATGGCCATATTCTCACTGTCATCACAGGCCCCTTCCTTTGTTCAGGTGTGTGGTGACACAAAGAGAGAGCAAAGTCTGATGTGGTCTTGTAAAATCCCACCGTGAGGGCCCCAGCCTTGTGAGCTCTTCTGTACCCAACCAAAACTCCTTTTCCAAAACCGTCATGTTAGGTGTCAAGCAGTACTGAACAGGGAGGGTAGCTACTAACACACATCGTTTGGTGCCTTTTAACATTAGCAAGTAGAATAGCAGTCAGAGAAATCTATTATATTTCATTTTCAAATACTAAATGTACATTTTAAAAGTTGCCATTCTTTCTCTACTCTATGATTCCAGAATTATTACTTTAGTTCAATAGTTCTTGCATGCTGGGTATATTTCCCAAAGCATAAATATAATATAAACTCAAAATAATAATTTAGATTTTAGATTTTAGATTTATATTATTTGGACAAAGTACCCACAATATGAACTGCATTTCTAATGTGAATGAATGCTGCAAACCTACTTTTAGTTTATCCCTTTATGATTTTTTTTTCAAAAGGAATATGTGAATTATATGACACTCTTAGGAATAATTTCAAGAAGTCTGAAATTATTGTTTAAGACATTTTCATACATAGCTTACCTTGGTACATTTTATTTTATTTTAAGAGCAGAGTATATTTATTGAAGGAAAGAAATCCCTGTCCAAGAGAGGGACAAAAGGGAACTCACGGGGTTTGCCAAGGAACCTGTCTTTTCTAGGGAATTTTACAGAGCAAATCCACAAAGTGAGGCAGGTCCAAGGTGGGGAACATGGGAACTTGCAATGTGGGCATGACGTGGGACAAAACTATGATCGACCAATAAGGTTATGAGTATAATTTTTCAAGTAAAATTGATTAAACTGGGATCAAGTGGGGAACTGAGTCACATAGCAAGCAGATATGAATACACAACAGGGGCCTTTCCTGTAGGGGCTTAGGTTAGTGACACTTCCTGGCTTTTTCAAGGTGATTGATACCTACTTAGCATATCAGTCCCTGAGGTCCATTCCTAGGGAGGGATGTGGGTGCATTTGTTTCATCTTTTATCTTGAGGTCTGGCCCACAGCTGCAAGGTCTTCCATACTAACTTCCTGGAAGGCCCAGCCCTGTTTGACTGCCTATACTATTTCTATCTGATATTTCTGTATATTCAGTTGCCTATTACATTGCCCCCTCTGAAGAAGTAACCCAAACTGCCATGAGGGAATAGTGGGTGATGACCACTCTGGCTTCTCAGGCTGAAAGGGGTGGTAGTTGTGGATCAGTAGTCAGAGATACTCTCCAGAGGATCGATAAACACCAGGCATTTTCATATGGGGTAGGCATATAGCTTTAA